GCACCGAGAACTGAATGAGAGGAATGAGTTTGGCTTACCAGGAGCTCATCTTTCTGTTTTGCATCCATTTCAAGGAAGTGTCATGAGGGTGTCAAGTGCTTTCCCTGCAATCTCGCCAGCTCTGGGAAGCAGCCACTTCCTTCCCAGCTTTCAACACCGTCCTTGGAAAAGATAAACATGGAAAGCATGTGCTGGAAGGAGATAACCCAAGGGCTGAGGCTTTGGGGAGTGGGAAAGGTGAAGGAAAACCAGGGACTGGTGGCACTGCCTCAGCACAATGGAGGTCCCAGGATATCATTCTGGGAGTCCAACACAAGGCAGGTAAACGTTGCTGGCTGGCAAAATGAGCCCAGAGCTTTACAGCATCAGAAGAATCATTCTGGTTAGACTTTTAAGGAGATTAGCACAGATGTTACAAGTTGATTTCCTAGATTTGGCTTGCAGAGCAAAAGCACAAACTCAAATACTGGAATACAAAAGCAAAATGAAGTAACACAAAAAGCACAGGACACTTTTCAATAACTAAAGTATTACTTTGACCATTATCACTTATTCTGTGATCCCAAGTTGAAGATTCAGCAAGCCTGATAGAAGCAGTTTGTGCCAACAAGAGACCAGGCTTATAGGCTCCCTCTTTAAATCTGGGTTTAGGATATCCCTTCCCAAGCTGAGGACAGATGAGAGTGGCAGCTCTAGTTTTAGGCTCAAACTTTCAGGACATGTGCCACAGCAGCTGCAATAATGGCCTGAAGAGGAAAAGGAATGGTCCAGTGATTCTTAAAATAGAATATGGGAAGCCTGAGTTCAAAGGCTCGATATAACATGGATAAATTCCTTTGCAATGTCAGCTCTGCCTGTAAACCAATGAGGAATTGAGCACTCCGTCTGGATTTTGAGTAAAATCACCCCAAAAGCTGGAAAGGAGGCTCGGAGGGGGCTCACCCTGATGGGATGAGCGGAGTTTGTCCAGCTCTGATCTCTGAGGGTGCCGGGGCAGCGCCGATCCTGGGCTCTGAGCCGGTGCCCCCCATCAGTGCCGGTGCCAGCCCCGAGCCCCGGCTGAGCCTCCCCGGGGCAGCGCTGGGCTCCCCGGCGGGCCCGGAGCCGCATTCGGCGTTCCCCGGTTCCCCCGTGTGGCGAAGGGAGGAAAAGCTGCTGTTAATCACGGCCTGGTAACGAGCTGGGCCGTGCCGAATCCACCTCCCCTGCCAACCTGCCTCGATCCCCTCGCCTCTGAAATCCTGGGGGTTTTTTTACAAGAGCAATTAATTCAGTATCGCGGGAGTTTTCTCTGTGGGGCTTGGCAGCACAGCAGTTAAATTGGATCATGGTATGGCAGGGAAACCTGGGCACCTCCAGCCGGGCTCAGGCCACCAAAACCCACCCACAAACAGCCCCAGCACAGGAACAACCTCTGCCATTGCCTCCAGTAAGGAGGAGATGATGAGAAAAGGCAATTGAATTGCCCAAGTTTGCAATCAGTCCTCGGGCTAAACTCAGAAGCCCTAATACAGGAACGTTCAGCTCTTGTGCTGAGGTGAGACTGAATTACATCAAGAAGCACCAAGACACCACTTCAATGGAATAAAAACAAACAAAATCTGTCTGGGTAGTGCCAAAATAGTAATCCAGATTAGTAGTAATCTAATAGTAACTCCTCTCCAGGAGGAGACTGCCACATACACCCACCTCTGCACAGACCCGAGAGCAGGGGAGAGCTGCTGCCTGCAGGGAAATCTGCTCAAAATCCAAAAGGAACCTCAGTGGGGTAACTGAGTGAGAAAAAATTAAATCTACTATCAAATCTCTTTAAAGGGGAAAAGTAGAAAATTTTGGGGGGGTTTATGTGTCCCACAAAATGCAGAGAATTGTGGTACCTACTCCACACCTGGGACTGCTCCTTCTTGGTTCTCCAAGTACTTTCTCCAGGCTGGTTTGCTGTACCCAAGGCAATGAAGTGTTTTTGTTTGGAGGCTTTAATGCATCTTAAAAAGTCTCGACTTTATGAAGTTTTCCCTGAAATTTTCTACTCCTGTTTCTTCTGGCACACCATAGATTTTCTGGCTCCCTTTGTAAGGAGATGGTTAAAACATTAAAAAAGGAAAAAAAAAATAGACAAACCAGTTTTTAATAGAGTCTTTAAAAAGCCCAGTCTCTCACATCAGACATCTTCTAAAGCCAACTTATTAAAGATCTTTATTAGCTTCAATCAACTTTACCACAGCTCCCCCTGTGCCATCTCCTTCCCATCCCTTACAAATGATGGGCTCACTCTGTAAATTGTGAGTTTAACTCAAGCTCCATTTCATCTCCACCAACTGCAGGAGAAGGTGCCATTTCTCAGGAATTATAGTCAGCAATATTAGTCCCTGGGTATGGCATTACCATATCTGGGATGATTTAGGGACAATGAAATCCCTGTGCCATCAAGCTGCGTGATTCCTCTGACAAAAATGATCCTGCAACTCAATATCCTCTGGATGCACTCACTGAATTCAGTCCATTCGCCTTCCTTGTTCCCTTTCAGCCCACCCGTGGCAGGGCTGGAGGAAACTGCTGCTTCTTCCACACAGAACTGAGCTCTGTGAAGGCAAAAGGGGGAAACTATTCTGAAACTCAAAGCTGTTCATGCTAGGGCACTGTACTGGGAGGAGCAGGGACTTGGGGAGCCCTCCTGGCATGGTCCAGTTCACCTGATCTCGTGGGTTTTAGCCCAATCTCCTTTCAGTTTAACATAAGCCCATGGCTGGGGGAAAGGTGGCTCTGTAGGATGTGGGGAAGTGGCCAATGCTGGCAACTTGCTCACATTAACTCCTGCTCAGTTTAGTTGTTGCTGCTTTGGGGGGAGTCCAGATGCTTTGCTCTATAATTTATCAGTGATTTCACTGTTCTTAAAACCTCAGCAAAATCCTGAAGTGTTGGGAAAACGAGGATCATCCCCAGTATCCACTTCCAGCGTCCCAAAGGCTTCAGCCCTGTGCAGAACTTGGCCATTCTTTGCAACTTCACCTATTAAGAGGCAAATAAATGACAACAGCAGTTTGGCCCCATTTCCCAGGTGACTTGTGCTGAAATCAATAAATGCAGAAACAAATTAGTGGCAGAGCTCTAATATTGCATGGATTTAACCCATACTGTGCCCAGCTTCCAGGCCTGCTGTGGAGCACAGAACTCATTTGCTTTTCTGTTGCCAGTGGTGACTTTCTGGCCCCTGGATGTGGAGTTTCCCAAAGCTCCAGCAGGACAAAATCCCCGCTGCTGCAGAGCCCACCCAACAGAGCAGCCCAGCCCGTTAACTGCACCTGGCAGCACCAGTCCCATTCCCAACAGATACACAAGAGACCATTTTCCATGTAAAATGATTACAATTTAGCAGAAAAAAAATGTCTGTTCAGCTCCAGGCGCTCTGGCAGGCGGCGATGCAGATTTGTGGTGCCTTAAGCACGAAGCAGGCACGGGCTGCAGCTCAGCGCCTGCTCCCCAGCTCTAATTTACACAGCTAATTAGTGGGATTTACTGGCTTCAGCATCCCTCAGTCTCTATTTGCTTAGGGAGAAATAGATGAGCCCTGCCTGTCGAGTCAAGCCCAACAGGCCAATAACTCCAGCAGTGCAGGGCACAGCCAGTGGGAAGCACCTCAGCACCCAAAATATCCTTTTCTTTCTGAGGAATTTAGGTGGCAGACACCGCTTAAAATCGCTGGGTTTGTGCTTGGCTGGGGAAAACATCCTGCAAGGATCCACACAGGTCAGCACCGGCTGCTGGGGTGGGAGGATGGAGAAGTGAAGGAGTAACTCCTCCAACAAAGAGCAGCCCCGAGCTCCCCTTCAGTAGCAGCACTTTGTTAATGACTGGGGGTGAGGAGGTCACCCAGCCCTGATGGACACAGGGAGCACCAGAACATTCTGGAACCTTGGGCACAGGAATCCCCTCAGACCCAGCTCCTCTGGAAATATTTGTTCATTTATGGATGCTCAGCAAGGTAAGACTACAAAAGCAAGGCAGGCTATTTCCAATTTTCTGATTTTAAGATTTAATTATTATTTTCTTTTCCACAGTGACATCCCACTGCCCAGCTGCCCCAGCGACTGCTCAGGTTTGGTGGCTGTTTCTGGGTGGGGTTTGATGAAGATTATTAAGGATTATTCACCATTATTTTTTTTCTGTTAGACAGAGCAGCCGTGGAGCACGGGATGGAGCAGCTCCTAGGGGCACATCCCAAACTGCCTTTTGTGCCTGCAGCCGCTCCTGGACACTTCCAGCACTCCCGACATCGGAAATTTCTGGATGTGAAACTCTGCCCTGCTCGTTTCCACTGGATTCCCTCTGAAATCAGCACAGGTTGAAACAGGTCACTGAACTTAATCACAAACAGACACTGAAATCCCAGGGAAAGCCAAGCAGGGATGGAAAAAATATTCATCTGACAGCCACTGAAGGAGACTTTTACACAGGGGGGTTTGGGTTTGGCTCTGCTCTGGAGTCTAAGTAGCCATTATAAAAATGGTGCATTTTTACTCAAAAAATCTCGTCTCCTGCTTAGTCACTACCCCAGCCAGGTCTGGATTCGATTAGCAGGAGCAACAATATTCAAGTTTAAGTGCAGAAATGTAACACATCATCAGTTTTATGGAGCCAGTTCTGGTTTCACTCCCAAGAAAAGCTCACCAGAATTTTACTTTTCTCTGCAGCAAGATCTCTGTATTCCTCCTTGTTTTGTACAGGGCTACATTTTAGAAAATAAAGAAAAATTAACTCAGTGGATTCACTTAGATGTTCCATTTTCAGCCTCCAAGTAAGCCAAGGCTCTAAAACCACCCTGCAGGGATCTAGCTTTTAGGCAAGGAAACCTCACTTTCAGGTAAGGAAATCTTGCTTTTCAGGTGTGAATTACAACAATTAATTATCTGAATGAAAACACAAACACAGGCATGCAGAAAGCAAATGTTCTTAAACCACATGAAGTGAACTAAAGGCAGGAGAAATTAGAGAGCATTAAGAACAGTCCAAGCCAAACCGTATCCAGCTTTATTAAAGGTACTTTTCATGAACAATCATGGTAATTTAGGCAGGACATGGGCTACAATCCGCAACATTTTACAACAACTGTCAAACTCCCCTCCCTTGGTGGACTACTGAAATGGAGAAGTTGCTAAAAACCGTCAGAATGTTCAGCTTGCACTGGCAGAGGGCGAAGTTTAGAGTGAGGGTGGACACGTTCCCATGGCACGTTGTCTGACAACGCTGCACAAACCCACCCTGACTTGGAGAGGAGAACAAACTCCAGAGGCAGAATTCTGCATCTGAGGGTCCACAGAGGAAAAGAGGAAGCGCAGCTCCTTTTTGAGCCAGCCCATCCCAGACTGGCCACCAGCAATCCGGATCCTCGGCCAGAGGAACGTCCCAGCTCTGCTGTGCTTTGCAGTGATGGCTCTGGGAGAACAGGGGGACACCGGGGCAGAACTGGTGGCACTCGGATGTGGAGCAGGCAACAGCATCTTGGGAGCTCTGACGTTCACTTGGACACAACTGACACGCAGCACGGGGGAATCCCTTCTTCCTCCCTGCAGGAAGGGCCCTTCTTCCAAAAACTGGGGGACTGGCAGAAGCTTTTCTTATTAAAATTTAGGTTTTGAGAAATAGACTAAATGACATTTGTCCCCATTGCCCCCCACCCCCCCAGAACACAACAATGAAGCGGTCTGTGTGCTAACAACATAGCTTAAAAAAAAGTAAACCAAAATTCTGCATTGTTATAAAACTTGATAAAAAATAGTATTTCAAACTGTACAGTCACCAGAAGTACACAGTTATCAAAAATTCACACGTTTTACTTGGCTTCACCAGCACCTTCGGCTTTCTGTGCCTGAAAAGGAAAAGGGGAACAAGTGAACACATTAAAACAATGGACACTCATTTTTCTATACAGCAAAACCCTGAGCAGAACAAATCCTCTCTGGGCTGCACAGCTCTGATTTTTAATAAAATTAAATTGAACACCTGTTGCCTACAACACAACTCAGAAGTTGCTTTTTGAATTCACAGAAGAACAGTAACTTCCATGTGGCAACATCCCCTGGCAAACAAACAATTTAACTCTTTACCAACACCCCCTCCGTGCTGAGTGTTGTAAGCAACACCCACAAGCCAAGACCTGTCTGGGTCCGAGAGGGAAAGGAATCAATGCCAGGCTGCTGGGATACCTGGTCTGTTTTGGCATCTCCATTTTCTGCAGGGTTGTTTCCCTCCTTGCCAGCATCAGCTTTTCCTTTCTTCCCCTTGGGCACCTTCTCGCTCTTCTGTAAATGCAAGACAACATTTGCTGTCAGCTCCCAGAGCCAGGCACGAGGATAGCCCCCCTTTGGGGGTGGTGGCCCCAAAAGAACACAGACACCAAGGTTTGTTTGTGAAGGGACTGACAGCAAGTGGGAAGCCTTCACTTGGGTATTTTTTATGCAAATTCTGTAAAATCTGCAAGTTGTCAGTTCAGCTTTAGGATGCAGCTCCATTTCCTCACTGCACAGCTGTTAACCAAAGGTTTGTCAGCTGTTACTATTGCCAGGCGATGCCAAACCTCATCACCCTTTATTCACCTTTCCAAACAGCCCTGACCCAACTCACCTTTGGAGCTGCTTTTTTAGGTTTGGGCTCTGGCTTGGGAGGAGCGGGCTTCTGCAAGGGAGAGAAAACCTGGTTAGACACTGGTGGGATGGTGTGGCTTGGGAGCACCTCAGAGCCCCTGCAGTGCCACCCTGCCATGGCAGGGACACCCTCCCCTGTGCCAGGGCCTGCCCACCCTCAAAGCCAGGAATTCCCTCCCCACATCCCAGCCCTCTGGCAGTGGGAAGCCATTCCCACTTTGTCCTGGCACTCCAGGCCCTTGTTCAAATCCTGCTTCAGAGAAACAAACTACTTTCTTTTTTTTAAACCTTCAGCCAAATAGCTTCGTTTTAGGAAAGCAAATAAAGCATTTGAACTGCAGCAGCTGTTTGGTTTGTCCATTATTTTACCACTCCCAGAGCAGCACACAATGGGCCAGGTCCTTAAGGCAGGAACTCAGTTTTCACCTCCAGCACTGACACACATTTACACACGCAGTGGTTGTGTGTAAAACCACCGGGTGTGGTGACAGCTCTGCCAGCAGGAGGATACTCACAGCAGATAACCTCGCTGATCTCCGCTGAGGCTGTTGGAAAAGGAGAATGGTTCAGTTGAAATGACATGGGATAGGCATTCTCAAAATATCACAAACTTGCTCTCTTCCCAATGTAGTAAATCCCCAGAAATTATATCTATAGCTCTTTAGTTTTTAGAAATTAAGATGGTAGTTTCCCAGTTTCCCCTTTTCTATGTTCTCAAGAAACATGAGGCTATGCTGTTGAAATTACTAATAGCTAATGATAGTTGAGTAGATTTTTCACAGTTAAAAGAAGATTTCTCATGGTTAAAAAGCAGTTAAGACTTTGAAAAGTCAGAATCAATTGAGACCAACCCTCCCCACTATTCCCCAGTTATTCTGATGGCGTTAAACCTCATCTTCCAAAGGAAACACTTGATGATCCAACTTTCTCAAAACACTGAACTTCTTACCTCATCCTTAACTTTGGCCTTATCGCCCTTGGTCTCTCCTTCAGCCTGGGGACAGGGACACAGGTTGCAGGGACGAGTGACGGACAGGACCCGGTCCCCCGCCGCTGTTTCACCCCAAATCCCGAGGGGACCGTGCCGGTCGCAGCCCGGCGGGTGCCGGCCCCTCCCCGCGGGGCCGGGCGGGGGATGCCGGGCACAGCCCGCACGGGGCGGCGCAGGCGGGGCCCGGGGCCGTGCGCGGGGTCGGTGCGGGGGCGCCGCTGCCTCTCGGGGCGGGCCCCGCATCCCTCCCCTCCCGCCCCCGCCGTTTTGGCGGCAAAGCTCCGCCGCCGCTTCCCGCCCTTTCCCGCCCGCACCGGCGCTCCCCTCCCCCTCCCCTCGCCCCGACCTCCCGCCAAAACCAACCGGTCCGGACCGGCGGGCCCCTCCCGCGCCGCGGCCCCGCCGGCACCGCCGCCCCCACCCCGCCGAGGCCTCGCGGCTCCGTTACCGCCCCGCAGGCGCGGGGGGAGCGCTGGTCCCGCCCCCCCTCCCACAGGCGGCTCCGTGAGGGGGGAACGGACACCGTGAGGGGGGAGAGGGCGGCGGGGGCGGGGGGCGGCAGCTGCACGTACCTTTCTCTTCGGCATGGCTCCGCGTGTGCGCGCGTGTGAACGTGCGTGTGAGTGGGAGTGTGTGTGTGAGCGTGTGCGGGCAGCGGAGCGCGCCGGGCGGCGTGAGGGGGCGGAGGGAGCGGCGCGGGGAGGCGGGGGTGGGGGAGCCGGGCGCGCTGGCGGCGCTGCGGTGCGGGGCGCTGCGTGCGGGGCGCGGTGCGCGGGGCTGCACCCGGCGGGCTGCGCTGGTCCCGACCCCACTAATTGGAATCGGGTGTTTATAAAGTTTTATATAGAGCCGGACGCGGCCCAACCGGTTCCAGCCGGATCCCCGCCGCCCCGCGCGCCCATTGGCCCGCGCGGGTCACGTGGGCTGGGGCCAAGGCGGGGAGGGAAGGAGGGGATGGGGGGGGGGCGCGCGGAGGGGGCGGCGCGCGCGCCATTCACCCCCCCCCCCCCCTCCGTGCGCGCGCGCGGGAAACCGGGGGGGGGGAGGGAAAAATGGGGGGGAAAAGGTGAAAATCCGGGATGTGGAAAACGGCTCGGGGAAAAGGGGGGGGGGACACCCCGAACCCCGCCGCGATCCCGCGCGCAGGTGAGCGGAGCTGTTCGTTCAGCACCTCCCGCCCCGCGGGCCCCTCCCGGGGGAAGCACCGGGCGCCCTTTCCCTGTGAAAACACCGGAGATGCGGGAGCCGGTCCGGAAAGGAGGCGGCACTGCTGGAAGGAGAGACAGAAATGTTAAAAAGCAATAAAACGACGTTCAATCAATTCACACAGGTGCCCGCTGCTGGTGCCAGGCGGCTCGGGAAGTTGGGCTCCTTCCAAGAGGGGACATTGCTCACACCTGGCACCGCCGCGGCCCCTGCGCTGTAAATCCGGCCGAACATCTTCATCAACCCTTCACCGCGCCCTCAACTCTTCACTTTTTACCTCAGCCTCATTCAGAAAAACACCCCAAGGAACAGCCTTCCCCCCTTCCCTGCCCAGGTCAATTCAGGCTTTTTCACACCTCAGCTGCACAGTTTTTCCAGCCATGCTGATTCTTCCCATCTTCAGCCCATGTAAATGAATGATGGAGGTGCTGTTCTCACTGACAGCAGCCTGTGGCTCTGTTCCCACAGATTCACTGGAAAGATGCACTCCTGAAACTCTGGAGCCTGCCTGGGTAACTCACCTGCACCCTCTGACAAAGGAAGGCTCACAGGGGAAACAACTGCAATTGCATTTACTGCAATAACTGATGCAGCTGAAATGCACCAAGTCAGGTAACAGGAACCTTTTGCCACTGCTTGAAGGGCACTTCCTCCTCCCCTGCTCCAGTGATGCCTTTCATAAAATGGATTAAAACTTTCCACACAAGTATTTTCTAAACCAGATCCTTCACTTACTTACCTCCCCTGCAGCAGGACCAGTACTTTGTGGAAAGCCACCTCTGTGGCTTTTGTCACCTGTAGAGTCAGAACACAACAGAAACTTTTTTTTTCCTTAAGGCAAAAATGCATTTTTTGAGTAGAGGAGTCTCCCCTCTCCCCATCAGCCTGGCAAAGCAGACTGGAGTTTCCATCTCATGGAGAGTACACACTTTCCAGTTTCCTGAAACATGGAAAATATAAAATACAGCAAAAGAAGTTTAACATCAACAGCTCTCATCATCTCAGCACATTTTTAGCCAAATTCTCTTTGTTACTTACACAAGAGGTGGAACCTGCACACGGCTTCCCTCGGGCAGGCTTTGGGGTATCAGCAAACTGCTCACACTGCACTGCAAAAATAACCTGCAAATCATCCCAGGCTAGCAGGAATCACATGAGGAGTCTGTCACAGATTAAATATTATTATATTAAACCTGGATTCCAGCTTCACACACCTTAAAATAAGCAGCTCCACATACTTGTAAACATTCAGGTTATTTTTTAAATAACTTTGGTATGAATATACTTTATTCCCAGTTTGACTACACAGTTCTTCACAATCACAGGCCAAGTGCTCAGTGTGCAGCACTTACAAGGCTGTTAAATCTGCATTTTGTGGTTTTCACCTGGAGGTAAGGAAGAAACACTTCAAAACCCAGCAACAGCTGGTACTGCCACACGTGTGTGTGCATCAGGAGCAAAATTCAAGACATTTTCAGTCATTTTGATCGTGGGGACGGAAACCAGGAGGAATGAGGGATGAAACAACCCTGGAAATCAGCTTGTCCATCTCCCTGCCAACGGAAAACTGAGAACAAGCAATACTCCACAGCTGCTCTGGCCACTCCCTTTAGGATCAGCCAAACTGCCCTTCTGAACCATTTGGGCTGGGATCAGAGGTGGGTTTTGGCTACTGTATTCCTGCATTAGGCCCACCCTCGTTCCCTGGAGCTCCCTCAGAGGGTTTGGCATGTGGCAGCCATCACCTGTTTAGCCAATTCCCTTCCTGAGAAGGTTCATTCCCAAGCAATCCTTTTTTCCTGCCTGCTCAGAGCCTTCCCCAAGGTCAGTGTGGTCCAGCACCTCCTGCACCTGGGTTTTCCCCACATACACTGCTCAGGAGAGATCTCAGAACCTGCTGAAGCTTTGGAGCAGCTTCTTTTCTTCACAGCAAGGCTGGGAACCCTTCCTTTAGCTCTCTGGAAAGCAGGAGTGGACACACCCCAGCCAGCAGTCAGTGGGGAAAAGACAAGATGCTCTCAGGGAGCAGGCAGAGGGGAATGCCCCCAACAGCAGGACAATCCTCTCCCTTGGTGGGACACAGAGCACATCTCAGCAGGAGATTCCCTACTGCAGAGCCAGGGAAGGGACCCGAGCCCAGGCCGATCTGACAGGACTGAACTGGTGTGGCTGGGCCAGCTCAGGAGCAACCAGAGAACTGGGGGAGGCTCATTGCAGTGAACTTCTGGTCACCGGAACACCTGGGCTGCCAAGAACCCGGCAGCAGAGAGCCAGCAGGGGGCAGGGAGGTGACACAGGACGGCAGCACCTTCCCCAGCAGCATCCCAGGCCAGGAGAGCTCGCAGCAGCCATCCCTGCTCGGGCAGGGCAGGGCCGGCGGGATGGGAGCTCCTGGAGCAGCCCCTGTGGGCAGCAGCCGCTCGCTCTGCAGGCCGCGGTCCCCAGAGCCGGCACCTGTGTCACGCAGACACTGGACACAGTCTCTCCAAGAAATCTGCCCTCTTGTGCTCCAGGGCCTGCAGGAAGCCCTGGATCCTCTCCTCCCTCAGGGCTGTGCACCTCTGCAGCAGCGAGCGCCGGCGCCGCGCGTCTGCGCGGGACACGCACCCCTCCTGCTGCAGCTTCTTGCTCACGTAGGCCTGGTCCCTCTCCAGCTGCTGCCGCCTCCTCTCCTCCAGGTAGGAGTCTCTGGCCTTCTGCAGGGAAAAGCAGGAGTGTTAGCACCTTAGCAGCCCCTGAGCTCACCTGTGGGATAGGGGACAGACAGCCTGGCCATGGATCTGCAGGCTCACTCTGCTCTGCCTCTTCCACCTTGAGGCAGCTGCTCAAGAAATACAGGGATGTCCTCCAGGGCACAGCTCTGCTCAGAGCATTAGCTCCTAGTTAGGACAGATAAAAGTCAGGACAGATTGTGGGGAAACCCTCAGGTACTGGAATCAGAGAGGAACAGCTACAGGAGAGCTCCTGGACCCCAGACACACACACACTCTTATCCTCACCAGTGCTATCACAGCCTTTTGGATCCTATTCCCCCGGCTGCTGAGAGGTTTTAGGGGATTCCAAACCATGACTTACAGGGCAATTTTTTGAGATGATCCAGTATTGAGCTAATCAGCTTTAAAACAAAAGCAGGAATAAGCTCAGCATTCCCAAATTTCTGTGATCTCAGAGTGTACTGGCTTGAGACACAGCAGGAGAAAAGCAAAGGCAGGAGCCATCCTTGTCTACCTTTCAATTATTTGAAATATTTCGTTGTAGAACATCACTTTTAGATTTCTCCTTATTGCACACATCCTGGCCTGCAGCCTCCAACAGCAAAAACACATCAGCAGGCAGGAATATTGAGGTTCTATTTTTAAAAACTGTAAAACTGGTCACTGTGACATAAACTGACACACACACACACACTCTTGGGAAGTGCTGCTCTTTCAAACAAGCAAGAAGAACAATTACTGTAATGAGAGCCTGACTCACTCATCCCCACACTTTTCCTGAGCCCAGGGCAGCTATAGCTCTGGAAATTAGTTCTTGTTGTGCTGGCAGTGTGAGCAGAAATATCCCCAGCAATCCCCCTGAATGGATGCACTCAGGGCTGACTGCAAGGATCAGCAGCAGCCTGCTGAGCAGGAGACTTCACTCCTCAAAGTGCAATTCTGCTGGTGGCCCAGCAAAGACTCAGCTCACCCCTGCAGGGGCAGGCTGGCCAGCCAAGCCCTAAATTCCTCCCCAGGATCTACCAGGCACCAAAAGCAGGGTCCAGCTGATCCTGGGACTCCATGGAGAGCAACAAACAGCTGGGAAATAAAATGCCAGCCATGGAAAGCGATGCTGTTTGAGCTGATGGAAGGAGGATTTCTTGTATCCAATGCCTCCAAATCAAAGGGGGTTTCTGTACCTTGTCACCCCTTCCATCCTGCTGCCCATCCACATCCCAAAAGCAGCAGCCCATTCTTCCCAAAGCTGCTGTAAAACATCCTGGCCTCTCAGCAAGTCCCCCCAGCCCCACCATCCTCACTGACAGCAACCCTTCCACCAAGAGAATTTGCTTTGTGACCTCTTTTGGATTTCAAGATCACCTATTTTAGATTTAAAAAGACCCAGCTCCTAAATCTCAGTTCCTGTGAGGGAGAATTCCTCCCTTTGCACAATTGTGAGGGTTCCCTGGGAAAAAGGGCAGCCTCAGACACTGCAAAGTGGCTCTTACAGGGAGAAAACTGAGCAGAGAACAAATGTGGACAATGAGAAACCTTGATAATAGCATGGCATGAACACATCCAGCCACCAACCAGAACTAAGCAAAGATGAGAATAGCTGGGAACAGAAGCTGCATTTGTTGCCTGTCAGAAACCAGCACCAGGAGCAAAGTCAGAACAGTGACCTTACTGTTCCAGACAGAGGCCAAGCTCATGGCAATGACAAACACTACTGCCTTCTTTGCTTCCCTCTTCATGCAGAAGGTGAACTGCCATTAGTTGTACTAATACAATGAATTGCTGGTAGGAAAAGGGCAGACTTGGGCCAGAAATAGGAACAAAAGAGGTTAAGGACATGGACAGTTTGGATGCTGCCAGACTGGCTGCACTTGATTAAATTCAGCCATAGCCACAACTGGCTATAATCTCTTTGACAACTCTCAGGGGTGAGCGAGGTCCCTGGAGGTAGAAAAGGGCACTGGAATGCCCGTTTCTAAAAAGAGGACCCAAATAATTATGGAGCAGACACACTGAGCAGTGAGATGTGGTGAGGTCCTTCTGCCTCTGTCACCAGCTGCTGCCCCCCACATTTCTCCATCAGGAGCTCCAGCTCCCACACTGGTTTTGCTCAAAAACAGCCAAACTGCTATCTCACTACTGAACTGGCCAGCTGTAGGAGAAGCAGGTCAGGGAGAGCTCACAGCAACAGACCCAAAGGGAGAGGAACAATGTCAGTGAGCAATAGGAACAATCCCTTCAGCAGGTACATCTGGACCCACCAGAAAGAGGACACTTGTCCACAGACTCACAGCTCAGGCTGCCTCATTTCAGCTCCCAGACAGGAAACGACCCTAAAAACAATAGTGGAGCTGGAGGAAGAGCATGTGAGCACTCCCTGCTTGTTAGAGTGTGAGTGCAGATTCCACCCTGTGGCAGACCAGCAGTGTGAGCCCTGGGACAGATGCTCCAGCTGCTGGAATGAGCAATGAGTGACAGAGACAGGGCTGACTTTGGAGATTTTGGGACTTGCTGAAAGTAGAGGAGTCTGGCCACACCCCAAGACCTTGGAACAAGCCACAGGGGTACAGGAGGAGCAACACATGAGCTGCTACTGAAAGGAGATCCTAACAACCAACCATGGCTCCCCCCTTGCAGCCTCTCACCTGACCTCAGCTGCTGTGCAGGGAACACGTGGGGCTGGGCTTCCCATTCCCCAAGGCTCCCTTACCTGTAAAGCACTGTAGTTCATCTGGAACTGAAGGATAGCTTCACACAAGTTCCAAAAGGAATATTCTGGCCACAAGACTGATTGAAACACCAGGCATGAATGGGATGTCTGCAGGAAGCAAGATCACCAACAGTTTTATCATTGAGCAAGAGAAAAACTCATTAAGATGCAACTCTGTTGGGCCAACGATGCCACTTTCCCCACAAAGGTTTTACCTAGGCTGTGTTATCAGATTCTACTTAAAGTGAGGTAAAAACCAGCTAGGAGAGTCTGAAATTGCACAGTGTAGAGTCCTTGTAATTCGTTTTCATTGCTGGGACACCAGTCATCCACTCCTGCAAAAGCATCAGCAGAATTCTTTCTAATGCTGTGTTGGACTTCAGAGAGGTGTTTTTAATAGCTTAAGCATCACAGACTTATAAAAAACCTAAAATAGCAACACTGGAGTACCAAAGGCTAAGGGAATAACAGTTGAACTGAGGATCAGGACATGACATTTAAGCCATTCTTCAAATGACATCTCATGATATTCCTTACTGCCCACTCATGGCATTTAAAGTGCTTAATGGAGCCAAGAGCTGTGGTGCACTGAAGATATCCTTGAGCTGGATGATGAAAGATTTCAAGTCAAAACCTATTTTTGCCACCAAATTCCTCAGAGTTTGGGATAAATATGTTCCTATGATGACTGCTAAAACAAGCCAACACTGAACAGGACT